ATGTATATATGTATATATATATATATATATATATATATATATATATATATATGTATATATACTCATATAGTGTCGCTTTAAGAGCATTTTAATGTAAAAAAAGTCTCTTACGACTACAATTTTAATTACCTCGTCTCTTAAGCTGTTTTTGATTGTCATCGAAATGTCAAAGCAATTAATTTATGCGGAAGTACATTAAATTTAATTGTTTTTTAAAAAAATTTTAAAAAACCGCAATTATAACGACTAGAAAGTTTTTTTTAATTAGTGGTGTTTTTGTTATTGATTTAATAAAAAACATTTTTTAAACATGCGTAAATGTTGCTACATCGACTATCTTATAGCCTGACTCGCAACGGAGTGCTGCTACATCGACTGACAAATAGCCTGACTCGCAACGGAGTGCTGCTACATCGACTGACAAATAGCCTGACTCGCAACAGAGTGCTGCTACATCGACTGACAAATAGCCTGACTCGAAGGGAATGCTGCTACATCGACTGACAAATAGCCTGACTCGCAAGGGAGTGCTGCTACAACGACTGACAAATAGCCTGACTCGCAAGAGAGTGCTGCTACATCGACTGAGGGTTTGGTTTGGCCAGGCAGTCTATCAATTAAAAAATAAAATTTAATATTTAAAACTTTTTCTGGTCTGGTTTATTAACGCGCTCTTTAAAACTACAGTTTATGGGAAATATTTTTTGATGCTACGCAAGAGACATGCAAGACTATATATATATATATATATATATATATATATATATATATATATATATATATATATATATATATATATATATACCCACACACTGGATTAGGAGCAAAGGGAGGGTGCGTAGGGCAATAGCCCCCTCCCCTCAAACTTACTCAAAATACCCGTTTAAATTAAAAATCTTGTTTTTTTGCTACAAATTTTCTTTTCAGTCCCCTAACATTCTTTTAAGATCAACATAAAAAACAAGAATTTTTTCAAACATTAATGTTATGCACAACAAAGTTTAAATAAAATCAAAAAATACCAAATTAGTAATTAAATAAGCTACTGAAAGTCTTTTTTTGACTTAAACAAAGGCATTAGTTCACGATTTCGCACTTGTGTTCTTATAAAACCATCTCTTTTATCCCAACCACAGACTGACTCAGCTGCTTCTGTGATTAATTTGACTGCTCTCTTGCAACTTTGAGTATGTAATGAGTTTGGAGGTAGCTGCAGGGGAGAAACTATCAATGCATTGAGTTGGACTAACGACATGTTTGTAGTGAAAATTGGTTCAGTAACAATCTCTTTTTTCCAATCAATAAGTTCTTTAATGTCAAATGCATCAAAGTTTATTGTTTGTGGAACTTTAAAAGGTCTAACATCATTTGAGCCCAGCTCACTTCCCTTCCTAACGGCCAATATTGTGTCGACTGCAAATAACCTTTGTTCTGAGTTATCAGAACAGAGAAGCGAGACAAGTATATTCTCAGGATGAGCCCACCAAGATTCATTTCTGAGATAAAGTTTAGATGCTTCTTTAATCCTATCATCTTGCTTCTGCCAAAGTCGAAACAGCTTTAAAAGATGACAAGAACCATATTTAATGTCATGCTTTACTTTAATCTCAAAGAACATTGGAAGATAAACCTGAGTCACCCAAGTTGCAAGCAGTCTTAAGATCTCTGCATTAACAGGTTCAAGATCATGCTTACTCATATAGAGAAGCAAGCATCTCATGCCACAAGTAAGCCATCGACTGTGAGACAATCTACCACATTTAAGAGCTTCTACTTCAGGATCAAGCTTTCCTTTCAGAATTGCATTCAAGTACTTCCATGCAACTAAACTGTCAGTGCTCATTTGCTTTAAGAAATCTTCACTGATATTAACAAGAGGCTCCAGAAGCAAAATAGGAGTAAATTGAGTAATTCTTTCAAGATTATCAACTTTGGAAAATAGTTTACCTACTGCTTCACACCATCCTTTATCTGAAAAAGTTGGTCCATCAAGTTTTTCAACAATATGACGGAATGGAAGCTCATTAATGTGAAGCCAGCAAAAAGATCTAAAAAGTTTTCGATTGAGAAGTTCTTCCACAAAATGAATCATTCCACCTTTCCATCCAGACATTTCATTTGTAATATCACTGCCAATTAGTTGGAGATTAAGATCTTTACCTCTTTCCATTAACCGGTTGAATAATCCAATAGCACATTGCTTGGCTGGTTTAGATGTTTCTGACTTAGGCTTTGGTGTATAATGAGTAAGGTAACAACCTCTAGGTTCTTCTGTCACAGTTATATGATTTTCTTTGATAATTTTTTTTCTGAAGGTGACTGTGGTTTTATCATGGATAAGAATTAAAGTTTTGTCTTTTCTACCATCAACAAATATTCCAGTGATTACATTTCTTTCACAGTAGAAATTTTCTTCTATTCTGGAATACTTCATAGCACACTCTTTGGCACAAAAAACTTTCATTCTATCACATATAAGATTTTTTTTATCTTCAACAAGTTTCCCTGCTTTCATAATATCTTTCAGTAGACCATTAATGATTGCAGCAGTAGCAGTTGATGATACACCAAATCTAACAGAAGCAACGGCAGTCTCTTTAACATCCAAACCAAATTCTTGCATAGATGAAATACTGCCTTGTTTTTCTCGCTGGTTTTTATCCAAATAAGCTCTTTTTGAGGAATTCTTAAATTCTTAAAAGTCACATTTGCAAAGGCAATGAGCACCGCTATCACAAGATTCTTTGCAAGGGGGATCATTCTCACTGCAGTAAACAATTTTGCATTTGCAAAGAGCAATATCTAAAAGTTTATCAAGCTTAGGCTCCCAGTGTATTATGTAAGATTTTTGAGATTTGTTTCGAGCTATCTTAGAGAATGCAGACCAAATTCTACTGAGTCTTAGTGTTATTCCTTTTGTTCCACAAACTATAGGTTCTTTAAATTTTGTGTTGGAAATAAGTCATCGTTCTGCAACGTTCTTGCTAACTAATGGCATTATTAGTTAGCAAGAAAACCATCAATTTTCTGGTTTTCTTGCTAACTAATAATGCCATTTTTCTTTTTATAATATATTATGAGTCTGAAAGATATAAAGGCAGCAATAACAGCAATTAATTTGAAATTAAATTTAAATAGTAATTATAATATTTATAAGGTATATTTGTATATTAACTGATACTTATACATAAAATAATTTTTAAAAAAACTCAAAACATATTATTAAAGTTAAGCATAGTGCTAAACAGTATTTTAAATAATTATTATGTACATTTATAGCATAAATAGTCAGCAATTAGAAAAAAACACAATATTTTCGGAAAATTAAAAACGTTTTCCCGGTAGCAAGACTTGTTTTTTCACTAAAAAAAATTATACCATTCAACTCAGGGTATATGAATACATAGGAAAAGTGATGTACTGAATGAAATTTATAACATGCAAAAGTATGATATACCCTATTGAGTAGGGAGAGTTTGTATCCTGGGTTTGTACCCCAGTTAAGCTAAATATTTTAAAGGCTTTATTAAAAACATAGCAGTTGTGGCACAGCGCTTTTAACTCAAAACCAAAAACCAAATAAATAAAAAAGTAATTATATAATTAATTAAATTTGTAAACTGATAATTATATCTCAATTGTTGTCAGTAAAAAATGTTAGCACAAATACTTAAGTCTCCTTAATCAACTTAAATTAATTGCTATAAGATTGCTAATAAAAAGTTTATAAGATTATTAATAGAAAGTTTATAAGATTATTAATAGAAAGTTTATAAGATTGCTAATAGAAAGTTTATAAAATTGTTAATAAAAATTTTATAAAATTGTTAATAAAAAGTTTATAAGATTGTTAATAAAAAGTTTATAAAATTGTTAATAAAAAGCTTATAAGATTGCTAATAAAAAATTTATAAGATTTTTAATAAAAAGTTTATAAGATTGCTAATAGAAAGTTTATAAGATTGTTAATAAAAAGTTTATAAGATTGTTAATAAAAAGTTTATAAGATTGTTAATAAAAAATTTATAAGATTGTTAATAAAAAGTATATAAGATTGTTAATAAAAAGTTTATAAGATTGTTAATAAAAAGTTTATAAGATTGCTAATAGAAAGTTTATAAGATTGCTAATAGAAAGTTTATAAGATTGCTAATAACAAGTTTATGACTACATTATTTTAATGCAATCATAAACTTTTAAACTAGAATAAAGTTATTGAATTTAAAAAATTATAAAATTACAATAATTATCATAATTGTAATGAAAATTTGTAATTAAGATTTTGTAGACAAAAACTAAAATACTAAAATGTAGGAAGCACAGTAAAATAGGTTTAATATGCTTTTTTTTTAATCAGTGTTTTAATTTGCTAATTTCATTTTAAATTGCAACTTTCATTTCAATTTGTAATTTACAGCAAAATAAACTGTTATCTAGAGTTAAATATATGCAACCTTAGGAATTAGGAAAAATGAGATCGACCTCAATCTTTTTTAGGGCGGCATCAGGGCGGCAAAAATTATTTGATACAAAGGTCTGATCATAAAACATAGAAATGAGGTCGGCAACATTTGCCGACCTCAAACACTTTCAGATGGGCAGTTAGGTCGGCATTGTCAAATGCCGACCCTAATTCCGAGGGCTGTATATGTAACATATTATAAGAACAATTTTTTGGGAAATAAAAAAAATTATGAATAAATAAAAATACTTAAAATAAAAATTTTTTAAATAGTATATATAAAGTACATAAAGTAATAAAAAAAACTATACAGCACAAAAAAATTTTTAAATGATTTTGTTTAGTAAAACCTCACGTGTTTAAATTAATTAAAAAAAAATTAATTTATATACATTCTATTTCTTTTTTATATTTAGTAGGCATCTAATCAAATGCATTCTGACAATTTGTAATTTTTTCTAGTATTTTTTCAACACTTAAAAAATACATAGACTAAAAAAAAAAAAAAATCTTAAATTTATTTGAAAAATTTTTTTAC